ACAAAATCAAGGTTAACATGTTAAAGAATACCTAAGCCTAGGTCTTATAGTGTAGTTGAATGAGTTAGACTTACTTGGTCTAGCGATATGAGATAGAAAAATGCTTCAAAAGACCACAATAGATCGTCCTTGCAGTTGTTCCAACCCTTAGCCAAAGCCGACGACAACTCCCTCGATTACTGCAGCTCCCTCTCAAAAAACTCTCCTTTTATCTTGTAGAATTTTCAAATGGTCAAAAGAACCTAGTCATGGTCTCACCCTCTCTTTATATAGGTCATCCATGTAATAGAAATATTCTTAAAATTCTAGAGGAGGACACTTCTTTGACCAAGTCACCAATGAAAGACATTGTGATGACACCTAACTTTCCACTCACTCGAAAGAAAAGGTAAGTCCCTCTCAAATGTTCAATCTATACTAACATTTCACGATAGTGGTAGTTTTTCTTGACGTAAGCCGAAATGTCTAAACACGGCATTTTTCATCAATGAAAAATGGCATGTCCGAACATAATCATTTTCGACGGTAATTTCATATAGTATATAGTAGAACATGACATTTGGAAGAAAAACATATGTTAAAACATGAAACTCATCAACAAGAGTTGCAATTCTTGATGCGACGGTTTCGTTGATGAATAAAGCTTGTCTTGGCTCAACAATTTCGATAACGAAATTGGCATGTCGAGACATTATTGTTTTCGACAGCGAATCTAGCATGTCTTGACACAACCGGTTTTTGGCAACCATTATCCATCAAATATGAATATTTAGTTAAGTAATTAAAACATACATAAACATTGATGAAAATTGACATGTCATGACATAGCTAATTTTCGACGAGCATAGACAACATGCCATGACGTGCCAATTCTCAATAACAATACGCATAGCAAAAATTTAAGCATCAATATCAAGTAAATTAATTAGGAATCAAGTAAATCACACATATATATATACATGCATATGCTATGTCCAAAGGTCCGGATTGTTACAATTTTTGACCCATTTTGTTACATAACTTAGCCTCCATTTCCATCACGATTTCATTAATCTTTCATACAATCAAATCAATAAAACATAATTCATATCTACATTTTTAAAATCCAATTTATCTCATGCTACTGGACTAAAAAAATAAAAGAAAATTGAAGCTTAAAAGAAACAAAATGGGTAAAAATGGGTTTTTGAAACTCATTTCGAATTGATCCTATCTAATCCACTTAAAAAATAAAAGATTATTGGATGAAGGAGATTCATATGGTAATTAACCCAGTTGATAAATATGGCAACAGTTTTTGCTACTCTTAAATCTATTGTTTCAGTACATAGTGAGGAGCTTATTTCCCATGGATATTTGTGGTATAATCTTACGTAGGTTATTAATTAATGATTAGTAACGAACCTTTCTCTGACATAAACACATGTTTCTTCATTTATTAGATTCTTGTGGGTTTATTATCATTTATGTGTGCTTTAATGGCTGGTTATTGTGACCAACTCATCAACGAAGAAAAACTAATTCCACTGCAATTCTCAAACAAAAACCCAGTATCTAGCAGTAGTACTGTTTTGTTGACCATATATCTGATCAACACCACACAAGTCACAACAAAAGGGAAAAAAACCAAAGAATTCCATGAAAGATAAAAATATTTAAAAAACTCAGAAACCTAAATTCAAAAACCTCATGAAATTCTGATAGCATCTCTTAGGAATGCTGAGGAATGGAAGTGAAAAGCCTCCAGTTAAGTTCCAACAATAAAACATGAATCATGACTTAATTTTCCACTTATTTCATTGAGTGACTCAATTAACTAACATTTATTATCTTAATATTATTTTATACCATCATAAGCACATAATTAATATATCCCAAATCATAATTACCACTCAAGAACCTCTTCTTTTTTAAAAAAAACCTATGCAACTAAAACTAGTTTGTTAATATTTAAATCCATAATCTTTTATTACAAGAGTCTGGTGCAGACAACCCTTTTTCTTCCTTAAGCAAGCGCTGGAAAGAGATATCCAGAATCACAACACAAACATCATCATATATCCACAAAGCTTAAAGTCCTTTTTTCACCATCAGCCTGTCCAGAATTGGTGCCTGCACTATTAAAAGCGGACCCATTTGCTGAATGTGCAGTAACTTTCGGCTTTGACATTAGATTTCTTAATAGCGCTTATAAAAGCAAACAAACATTAAAGAGATTCAATAGAACTTATGCGCTAGGTAGGCTTTCGATGGGAGAAAAACATATGGAGGTTGAAAATGAAAGGTTTATTTTAATTTCTATAGTTTGAATAATATTCAATTTAATCCCTGAAATTGAAGATATAGAATAATTAATATAACATGTGGCAATTGATTTATTTTTAGTTTTTTACGTGATAAATAAATCTGATATGTAATGATACTTATATTTTATTTTTTGCCATATATTACATTTTATAAGAAAATTGGCAAAAAAACTATCGAAAAAGCCACATTAAAAAAATCTAAACAGCTGAGGGACACAATAAAAAAAACCAAAAAGAAGAGTTACATTAAAAAAAATCTGAAATTTGAAGCAAGTTTCTTATAATTAATCCTTGGCCTTCGATACCCATAGTTTAAACTTTCTCAATATAACCTTGTAGTTCCTAACGAAAATTCTAATATGGCCCTAGTCGTTAAATAGCTAAAAAGACCTAACCAAATGCTTCTTCTTCTCTTTTTTTGTTTATGTTATTTTTTTCCTCACTATTTTCATCTAAATTTTTATATATGTTATTATATTTCATTGAAATATTAACATTTCAAAATGAAAATATATAGTGAACTTATTACAAAATAAATTAAAAGGTATGATGGTTTCACTATTGCTAAATTGTTCACTCTCACTCAATAGCACTATGGATCGAGCTTTTTTTTTTTTTTTTTTTTTTTTGCTTTTTGTGTAATGAATAACCTCTTTTTTCTCTTAATTACTCTTAATGTCACTCGGTGGATTTGTGAAAATCAACATTTGCCCTTGACTCGATTTCCTTTTAATTTTCTTTCTTATCATTTTTTTGTCATTTCCCTTCTTCCATTTTCCTTTGCATTATAAATGACTTTTTCTTTTGTTTTAAATTACTCTCAATGCCACTTGGTGGATTTGTAAAAATCAACATTTGCCCTTGACTGATTTCCTTTTTAATTTTTTTCCTATCATTTTTTCGTCATTTCCCTTTGCATTATAAATGACCTTTTCTTTTGTTTTTAATTACTCTCAATGTCAATCGGTGGATTTGTGAAAATCCACATTTGCCCTTCACTTTTTTTTTTAATTTCTCTTTTAGCCTTTTTTAGTCACTTCCTTTTATTTTCTTAATCAAGCATTTAATGCTCTAGTGATTCCATTTTTTTCTCCTTTTCGTGAGAGGAGAGGAGTTACAAGAGTAAATTATAAATTAGTCCCTCTTTCATAGGGAAACAAATTAATTAGTCCATTTAATTTCAAAAACTAATTGTTGTCCTTCTTGCTATTTTTCAATCTTCTTGACCTTTTTTTAAGAAATAAAAAAAATAAAAAAAGGATAAAAATATGAAAAAATTGATGAGAAAAGAAGACATCTTTTAAAATAAAATAATAAATTAGCTTGGCTAAAAAGATTAAATAATTATTTTTTGAAATCAAAATATTTAATTAATTCATTTCTCAAAACAAAAGGGATTGATTTATCCTATATTTACATCTACTCGTATGAAATAAATATATCTATTACTATATTCACATCTAATATATGAAATAAACATATCTATATGATATGTATTTATGTTTTAAAATAAACATATATTTTAGATTATATTACTATGATTGTTTAAAATTTATTTCTTCAATTTGTCATTTCTTATTAAAATTTTCATTAAATTAATTTTCATTTTGTTTAAATATTATTTACTAATAAACATGATTTATTGTTCTCTATGCATGGATTTTTAAATAAAATTTTACAACATGATTAGTTTTAAAAAATTATATAATTTATATGATGGACCCTTAGAATTTTTAAATGATAGAATTTGTATTAGAGTTTTTGAAAAAAAATAATTTACAAAATAAATTTTTAGTTGTAAATCCATGGAGTTTTCGATTTTATTTTTAAATTATCACAAGGTTTTAGTTAAGAATCAAATAAATAAGAATAAATTATGTTTTTTTTTCAGAAATTTTTTGAAAAATACAACGAGTAATTAATCAAATGCAAAATTTTAATAAAAAAATAATTATTATATTTTGATGGATTCACAATATATTACAAATCTTCAATCTAAAATAATTTTACATGTTTTTTTTTTATCCGTAGCGTAGTGCGGGTGAAAAACTAGTCATGTAACTATTTAGCAATCGAAAATCATATTAGAACTTTAGGAAACCACAAAATTAATCTTGAAAATAAGAATTATACTAAATTGGAATATTGCTGAATTCAAAGGGATTAAAATTTACACATTTCAATTTTTTTTTCTTTTTTTTTAAAAAAAATCAGATGTATTTTAATTTATCATTTGTCTGCATGATGATGCATTAAAAGAAATTAATAAATTATTTCAAACAGTGCTATCAAAATTCAAACAAAGAAAGTAAAAAACTTCCCACCGTTTTGACCGATTCCTCGTACAACTGAAAAGTACTAGATTTGGTGATTGGCAGTACTTGGCTATGCCATATCGTAGCTCCTGATAACTTTTTATCCTTAACATCTTGAAACCCATTAACAAGCTTTGTAGATTCTGTGCTATTTGCCTTTTGGTATCCAATTTTCTTGTTGAATATTCTTCCAACTTTCCCTGTATTCCTATTTTTTTCTTTCCTTGTTTGTTGGGAAATTTAATTAGGTGGCATTGACAAGGAGAATCTCCTCTATTTAACAACCCCATCGCCCCTTCCTTTCTCTACCACTCTCTCTCCCTTCCTCTCCTCGAGTCTTTGACCATTGCCACTCTCCACTCTTTTGAAAGGATCAACCATGTCTCTCCTTAACGATCTCATCAACATCAATCTCTCTGATACTACAAAAAAGATCATAGCTGAATACATATGGTACTTTCTTTCTTTTTCTCTTTAGTCTATGATCACCAGGTTGTTTCATTTATGTTGAAACTTTTTGTTTCCTTTCGGTGTGTAGGATTGGTGGATCTGGAATGGACTTGAGAAGCAAAGCAAGGGTGTGTTTTTTTTTTTTCCTTTTAATTTTCTTGGGGTTTTTTATCATTTTGGGGTCAGTGTTTCACATTCAATTTTGTTATGTTTTTAACAGACTCTGTCAGGACCAGTGAGCGATCCTGCCATGCTTCCGAAGTGGAACTATGATGGGTCTAGCACAGGTCAAGCCCCTGGTGATGACAGTGAAGTCATTTTGTAGTATGTACCAATCAATTTTTTTTTTTTTATATGCATCTCACCCTGTTTTTGATCTTGATCGATCGGTGGACATGCTATGATTTCAGCATTTGGTAAAGGGATTCAACTTTTTTTTTTTTTTGACGAGTAATATTAATTTTATTTATTGAATATTCTTGAAATTATTTTTCGAAAAATCTAAGAGATTGAATAAGTGAGTTGGAGCTATGAATCTCAAATATGGTTAAATTTTTTGGTAAAAGTGATTCTGGGAGGAATTATTTGACAGAATCTGTATTATTATTGTCGATTAAAAGAATTCTTAGAATTATTTTTATTTTTTTTATAAGATTCCTTGTTGTTACAGATTTTCTCTCCCTTTATATCTAATATTTTGATTTTTTTTTCTTGAATCTTGACTGGATAAGCCCACAAGCGATATTCAAGGATCCATTTAGAAAAGGAAACAACATCTTGGTAATTAATTCTATGCCGTTAGACTCGCCCTTTTCAAATTATTCCCGTGACATAAAAGATTAAAGATACTTTTAGCATTCATTATAGAAGTCAAACATAAGGGTAAATAACGTCTTTTGGGCTTGAACCAAATTTTAGGTGATGTGTGATGCCTACACACCAGCTGGTGAGCCTATTCCAACAAACAAAAGGTTTAATGCTGCCAAGATCTTTAGCAATCCTGTTGTTGCCGCTGAGGCGCCATGGTAATAATTATCTTACCTAATTCTATAGAAAAAAAAAACCCTAATTAATGGGGAAGATTAGCTCTTATATATATATATATATAATATGGTTTTTTTTTGTTATCACTTACATGGCATTTATTGTACCACAATGGTATAACTTTATCGATTTTGATTATGATTTTGGGTGTCTGTCATTTTCAAGAGGGTCCAAAGCCATTGTTATTCGACCTTTGCATATGAAGCAAAACATACAGGGCCCATGTGCTTGTCTTCTTCAGTCCATACCAAGCCAACCTCGTGTCTAATTTTCTTCTCCTTCACATCCCAACTTGACGATGCAATTTAGTAATCTAAATGGTCAAAAGCCATTATCTTTACCCAAAAAAAGCAAAAAATGACTAACGTGATTGAATTTTTGAACCACCGTATGGAAAAAAGTTGGTGGGATGGATACATAGGCTTCATAGTCAATGATATTTCACAGGTCTACCCTGCATTGACTTGGTTATAAAGGTTTGCAAAACTGAAAAAAAAAAAAGGGGGTATCATTGACTGCATCATTTTATTATTCAGTCTTTTTTAGGATCTTGAATTAGGTGATTTCTGGTTATCTTAATCATGAATTAACCACATAGAAAGCTTTCATAACTAACCATATATTTAGGGCTTGAAATTGATGCAGAATTTGAATTCTTTTGATTCGTTTCACCAACTTAATTATGGTAATAAACAAATTAGAGATAAATAAATAGTCGGTTGTAATTTTCTTATTATATCATCATATATTTTTTGATCTGTCCAAAGAGAAGATTTGATACGTCTTGCTTGACTTTATTGTTATCATCATCGCAAGAATTAAAATAAATTGTTCACTGTGTTAATTTATTTATGTTTACAACTTTTCCAAATTTTCTTGTGCCAATAAATTTGAACTATGTGAAGCCGTCTGTTCTATTCGTCTAGCTTATAACGCAAACAATTGTTTGCCCTATATGTACGTACATTTTGATCAGCTGGATTAATTTAATTTATATTGTGGGTCGGCTTTTTAGTATTTCATCTTCTATCTATCATTTTCTCTACACTTCATAATAGGGGAGTTTTGTTTTTTATTGTTTGAATAATTTACATGGGGTTTTAGGATTAAGTAATTGTGTTAATTAGTGGTTGGGTACGTGGTGGTCTGAGTCAATGTCCGTTATTTGACATGACATTAAACTTAATTTGTCAATGCTCGTTGGCTTTCTAGATGTAACAGAAAAATCCTTTCGGACCAAATAAAAAAAATGGATAGAAAAGGTAAAAATGGATAGACATTAAATTATTGGATTTTTTTAACGATAACATTTAAGGGTGATAGAAAAGGTAAAAATGGATTGTTAATCTAATCAAAATTCAACTCTGAAACTTTTTTCTTTTCTTTTCTTTGGTTTTTCAATGGAAATTTTTTTTACATAATGAAAATTATACTTTTTAGAAAAAAACTCTTTTGGATTAGGACTTTGCCTTTGCCAACTGGTGGTAGAATTTAGCAGTTGATTGAAAGAAAAAGCCCTTGTTATTAGGTGTCGTAGTCAACTGCTCACCTACCTTCTTACAATAATGAATTTACATAATTTAGCAGTTGATTGTTCATAAACTGGCATGTGAAGATCAATTAGCATCATTAAAAAAAAAAAAAAAAAAGGGAATGGTTGTGATTGAATTAATAAGTTGACAATTGACATAATTAAGTTTTATGCTATATGCAGACCTTACTTTTTTAAGGGGAGGAAAAAAAAAAAAGGTTTAAAGAGAACTGATAAAATCTTAGATCTTGTCTCTCACCTCTTACTAACATGATAAAATATTTTAAATAATCTTGTAAACCTAGCTAGGCTTCTGCCAAATTCTCTACCTGATCAACATCCAGAAACCCGTTACCTAGGGAAAAAAGGATAGCAATTATATATTCTGTTACAAAATAAAACTTTCTTCTTTAATGCAATATTGATCATAAATTTTAATTGTCACCGATGCTTAGTTCTAGACGTCTGATCATATGTTATGATCAGGTATGGGATTGAACAAGAATACACTCTTCTCCAGAAGGACATCAACTGGCCTCTCGGATGGCCCGTTGGTGGCTTCCCTGGTCCTCAGGTTCGAAATATTTGTCTCCATATATACCCGTACGTTGAGCATGATTTCGTAAAATTAATTATCAGGATGTCATTTTACAAGTTCTGAGATGCAATGCAGGGTCCATACTATTGCGGCGTAGGGGCTGACAAATCCTTTGGCCGCGATATTGTTGACGCCCACTACAAGGCATGCTTGTATGCTGGCATCAACATCAGTGGCATCAATGGTGAAGTCATGCCTGGTCAGGTACCATTGTTGTTTTCTGGTCTAACAATCTTATTTCATTACATATAAAGGTTTTCTGTCTCTGTTTGTTTTTCTAATGCGTGCTTGTTTGCTGGATTAATTAATTAAACAGTGGGAATTCCAAGTTGGTCCTTCTGTTGGGATCTCTTCTGGTGATGAAGTGTGGGTTGCTCGATACATTCTCGAGGTATATATTGCAATTACGTACTCATTCTTGTCGATTTCTTTTTATTTTCTGTGGTACCTTCAAACATTTTTATTCTGCTTGATCACACAGAGAATTGCTGAAATCGCCGGCGTTGTGGTTTCGTTTGACCCAAAACCAATTCCGGTTTGCAAAATTTTCAATCTTTAGCTTCTGTCACCTTGTTTTAATATGTTGTCCATTTGTATTTAATTCACTTGTTTTTCGTGTTCATATCCAGGGTGATTGGAATGGTGCTGGTGCCCACACTAACTACAGGTAATTAATGCATTAAACCTGAACCTTTTAAACCACTTTGCTATATATATCCTCATGGATCTTCGATCGATTCTTTAGAACCTAAACATGTAAGACATGACATTTTTTCTTATTGTTTGGCTTTAATTTTTCACCTCAGTACGAAGTCGATGAGAAACGATGGTGGAATTGCTGTGATCAAGAAGGCTATTGAGAAGCTGAGTTTGTGCCACAAGGAACACATAGCTGCCTACGGAGAGGGCAACGAGAGAAGGTTGACAGGTCGCCATGAAACTGCTGATATCAACTCTTTCTCCTGGGTTAGTTATAATTTCCTTTTGTTTCAAATAGTATATAAAACTGTGCCATTCTTTTATTTGGGATTTCATTTAGTAACATTTTCACTGTTCAAAACTTCAAATCATATAGGGTGTTGCAAATAGGGGAGCATCTATCCGTGTCGGCCGCGATACTGAGAAAGAAGGAAAAGGTAAGCACATTCTGTTAATTTGCATTTCTGAGCTCGCAATTTCATCAGCTTATATATATATATATATATATATATATATATATATATGTTTCTTTTTATAATTGTCAGGTTACTTTGAAGATAGAAGGCCAGCATCCAACATGGATCCCTATGTTGTTACATCAATGATCGCTGAAACTACCATTATCGGGAAGCCATAGAAAGAGAATTAATTAGTGGAGGATGGAGATTGGCAACAATCTCTAAATTTAAACTACCACTCTCTCGATCCAAAAAAAACCCTATTTATCTCTTTCTCTGATGTGCATGATTTGGTTGTATTTTGCTTTCGGTTGGTGCCTTTTATTTTGTTCTCATCATTTTCTTATACTTTTCTGTAAATGCCAGTCTGTTGGCTGTTGATCATTTCAGAACATATTCAACTCATTCTTAATAAAAAGGTGGTTTAGTTAATCATAACTTTCGTAATCTCTCTCTTCATAACTGAGCAAAAGTATACATCTGAAATTAACACATACACACACACACTCCTACCAAACCCTTAGGAGGTCTTGTCTCTGTCGCAACGAAACCTGTAGCTGAATCAAATGATTTATGGCAACTAACTGGAATCTAGTTTTGAAAATTTCCTAAAATGTGCTGTAGAACTATAGGCTTTTGTTTTTTGTACTTTTTTATGTTTGGATATATTTATATATCTTAAAGAAATCCTTCTCCTTCTTCTATATATTTTCTAGGGTTTTCTTTCTTTCTTTCTTTCTTTCACATTTTTGTTTCTTTGATTTACTTGAGAAGGAGAGCGAGCATATATGGTGCTAGAGTAGCCAGTAGAGGGAAGGCGAGAGATGCCATGGCAGCACCATCACTCCTATGCCTATCCTGCCTATGCGTGTTTTGTTGGAGCGATGGGTTCTGTGTATGGAGTCTCTATTCTTTTATTAAGTGAAACCTCACCTCTGATAAAATTTTTTGATTTAGTTGATTTATGCTTAAATTTCTGAAATGGGTTTATGATTAAATTTTTGAAATGGGCCTAACTCAGTCTCCAATTGAGTGGAAGAAAGAAGGAAGATGCATTTAATCTGTTTGATGAATTGTCTGAGATGGATTTGATCTCTTGAAATTCTTTGATTTATGGGAATTTTTTTATACGTTTGTGGGTTTTTTGGGTTGCAATGAAATTGAGCCTGTACACACAGCCAAGAAAACCAAGAACCATAGGCACAAAAAAACCTAATGAAAGCTGGTTTGGGCTGATGGTGTATGAAAAGACAAGCAAGCGTAGTCTCATGCCTATGAGGCTGTTGCTGCTCATAGAGAAAGAAGCTGCATGCTGAGAGAATGGACTTCATCAGCACCGTAAGTAAGAATGATACAGAACCTGAATCAAAAAAATTAAAGGTGCACTAAAAATTTAAGATACTATATAACAATTAGTCTTGAATAAATAAAATATACTAAACCATAAGAAAACAAAAAAATAATAGTGAAAAACTAACTATTACGAGCAAATACAGATACATGATCGCACAAAGACAAACACATCTGATCAAGCCATAACAACAACAATTATTTTGCAAGATTGACACATAAAATTTGACCACACTACAAAAAAATAAAGGATTTGCAAAGGGAAAATAGTGACGGTCTCAAAACCATCGCCAATTTACTAAAATTGCAAGACGGTTTGAAGCATTTTAGCGAGGGAAATTAGCGATCTTTTTTTGTGATGCTTTTTTCCAAAAAAATCATTGCTAATTCCAATCTTTTTTGAAAAAAAATTTCTGCAACCATTTTTGCAACGAGCTTTTTCCAAAAAAGAAAAACCATCGCTAATTCCAATTTTTCTAAAAAAATTTTCTGCAGCAATTTTTTGTGACAGCTTTTGTAAAAAAAACCATCGCAAATCACGAAATTAGCGACGGTTTTCTTGACCGTCACTAATTCCATTATAAAAAAGAAATTATTTCTTTCAGCCTTTTTTTGCGATGATTTTTTTTATAATAAACTGTCGCAAAATTAGTAAATTAGTGACGGTCTAAAAATCATCACTAATTTAGACCGTCGCTAATTTGGAGGGAAATCACTACTTTTCAACTTTTTCAGACATTTGGCGACAGCTTTTACACCGTCGCTAAAACTTTCAACCCCTATATAACAATTTGTTCAAAAATTTGCAAAAAAATATTTCTTCTCTCTCTTCTTCTTCTTCTTCTTCTTCTCCAGTGCCGATCTCCCTTCCATTTCCATTAAATTTTCCCCCTTTCCTTTTTATTTTCCTTCCAATCTCCTCCTCGTCTCTCTCCTCTTTCCCTTCTCGCCCTCCATCTCTCCCCGTTTTTCCTCCTTTTCCTCGTTCTTTCTTCCTTTCTCCCCCTTCCTCAACTAGCCATTTTCCGACGGAATAGTCCAACGCAGCCCCTCCATCATCGTAGCCAACTCTTCTCGCTTGTGTTGGTGAATGGTCCTCCTTCATCTAACCCCTTAATTATTTTTTAATTTTTTAATTATTTACTTAATTTAATTTTAATTTTTTTTTGTTTATTTTATCGTTATTGTTAATTTAGTTAATTTATTATTAAATGTTAATTTAGTTAGTTTAATTGTTAGTAATTTTTGTTAATTGTGAGAGTTTAATTGTTGATTTTATTGTTAAAGAAATTTAATTGTTATTTGTTATTATTAATTGGTAATTGTTAATTTTTAATTTACTTAGTTTATTGTTAAGTGTTATTTATTAATTTAGTTAGTTTAATTGATGGTATTTTGGAAATTTAATTATTTTAGAAAATTGTTAATAAGTTATTAGAAATATTTAAAATTTTTAGTAATTACAAAAATCATTAGTCATTAAAAAATTAATAATTTTCAAAATTATATTTAGTAATTAAAAAATCAATTAGTAATTAAGTTTATTTTGTTGTTGATTAAGTAATGGAGTTAAGTAATTAAAAAAATTAATTAATTTTGAAATTTTATTTAGTAATTAAAAAATTAATTGGTAATTAAGTTTATTTACTTGTTGATTAAGTAAAGGAGCTAATTAATTACAAAATTTAGTGATTAAAAAATTAATTTTTTTGTAAATTATATTTAGTAATTAAAAAATTAATAAGTAATTAAGTTTATTTAGTTGTGATTAAAAATATATTTTGATCCAAGTAAAGGAATTAATTAATTACAAAATTAAGTAGTGATTAAAAAATTATTTTTTTGTAAATTATTTTTACTAATTAAAATTAAGTTTAGTTATTGATTAAGTAAAGGAGTTAAGTAATTACAAAAGTAATTAGTCATTAAAAACTTAATAATTTTCAAAATTATATTTAGCAATTAAAAAATCAATTAGTAATTAAGTTTATTTAGTTAAATAATATATTTAAAAATTTTCATGTTAATATGAATGTTATATGTTAGTATTATATAATGAATATTTTATTTTAATACTAATGAATTTAATAATGTCTAGGTTATAATGTCTCGAGGTAGGGGACGTTCTCGAATGCGAGTGACCCATGTCATACGGTGAGGGTCGCGGTTCGGATACTCATTCGGGTAGTGATCGTGAACGCGAGTCCATTCTCCTTCCTTTCCCGGTCGGATGGACCCCCTATGGACATGCCTTCGTACCACCCCGATGGTGCCCTTACGATATACCCTTTGAGACCCGACATGTCCGAGTTTGAGCCATATCCTTATTATGGACCTTCACGTCGTCGCTTATATTTCCCTTTGTCGTTGTCGGTGCACTCGTCATCACAACAAGACAACCATTTTATTCCCGAACAAGTCTCATCTCGGGACGTCTCTCGTTCATCGACTTCGAAACCTATCGGATCCACGATCAATCCGTGAGTTATGATAATTCTCGTTGGTCACAATAGGTATGTTAATTTTATGCTTAATTTTATGAAACATATTTTTTCTTTATTACCATAATTATGTGTTCATTTATTTGTTAAATTAATGGCTATTTTCATAAGTTGTATCCTTCGATGTTTACGCTCACACAATCTTCCACACGTATGTTCATATTTTTGGATGGACGTGGAAGAGTATGAGTCTAGAAACAAAAGACTTCTATTGAAAAAAGTTTAAAGTAATTTATTTAATTTATTTATTACATTACTTCATATTTAAATAACAAATAATAATATTTAATTAAATGTACAAATGAATATTATTATTTTTCTTGCAAAAATCATTTACGTGGGATAATAACTTCGACGATAAAGTTAAGAAAGCTTGGGAAAGTCCGGCACAAAAGTGGTATTCGACTTTCTTTGTCGTATCAAGAGAAGCCCAAAGCCGACATTTATCTTACAAGACATATAGGATGCATGAAGTACGAAATGGGTAAAACCTAAGGCCATTGTCTAATCCGAGATGGTGACACGGAACCGTAGAAGCGAGAATGGTGGTGTAAGAGTCGGTCCTTCAAGAAATATGGGGGGTCGATCAACACTATAAGAAAAACAATTTTTAGCGACAAACCTTTAGTGACGGTCAAAAAACCGTTGCTAAAGACTAAAATTAGCAACGGTTTTACTTATTTTAGCAACGGTCTACCAATCCGTTGCTAATTTGAAAGGTTAACCGTTTTAACGACGGTTTTAATACATTATAAATCGTTGTAAATTTAGCAACGATATATATCGTCGGTAAACTGTTGCTAAAGAGTTAATTGGGTTTAGCGACGGTCATAACCGTTGCTAAATATTATTTAATATTTTTGCAACAATTTTATAAAAAAAACCGTAGAAAAAAATTACACATGTAGCAACGGTCCGGATCGTTGCTAAACCGTTACCAAAATGGGATCGAGTCGAAACGGACCCGGAGTAGCAACGGTTTGATATCCTTAAACCGTTGTAAAAATATTTGGTTTAGCGACGGTCCTAAACCGTTACCAAATGAGGTCGGGCTAAAACGGACCCCGATTAGCAACGATTTGATATCCTTAAACTCGTTGCAAAAATATTCGGTTTATGACCGTCGCTAAACCGTTGGTAACATAATAAATTTTATGTTTTGCAACGGTTGTAAAAATAACCGTTGCAAACGTAACATTAGCAATCCGTTGCTAAAAGTAAATCGTTGGTGGGAAACGGTCAAATTTAATTTTAAATTTACGGGTAGCGATGGACGGATCGTCGTTAAAAACTTTACCTTTTTATAAGTTCCGGTCGAACAAAAATCC